AGAAAATGAAAAAAAATGCGAAAAGTATTAATTGATAGCCAATCAAATTTTTGCAGATTATTCTAGATTCGATTTCCGTATTTGGCAATTTCCCTGACTGTATTATCTCTCAAAGCATTGTGTTTAAAATTGTACTCTAAGTGGCACATAATGTGTAACGAATAGTTCAAGAATCAAATTGAATGACTTTATCATTACTTGTCTTATGGAGATCGATTGTGTCTATATTTTCTATATTAAACATTGCTTTATCGTGAGTCGCTTTGTATTTATAAAGTTTATTAACTAATTGATTCTAAACTGATTCTTGAAATAATTAATTCTTTAAACTAATTGGTACCGGAACCGATTTTTGACAATTAGTGTGAATTTTTGACTTTGACGCAGTATAATTTTTCGAATCCCTTTTTTTAAAGCTAAAATTTAATTATAGTGGTAGTAATAGAGTATGCAAAAATTAAAGTTGTAATAAATTTGAGCTAGCAAACATACAAATAATACTTCTTTTTGATGTGCTCTTTTAAAGTAATAATACTCTTATTTTAAAAGCTATTTGATTTAATCGCAGGATGATGTTGAAATTAAAATCTATATTTAATAAAAAAGGAGGAAATCGACAAATTTTCAAAAAAATTTTTTTACACTTCAATTTAAAATAAGATTAGGATCATTTTGTAATATAGCTCTTTAAAGTATAATTTATTATAAAATTTATAGCACCTTGCTCATATATATATATGTATATATTATTTTTTAGATTGGGTTAGGATTAGAGTTATGGTTTAGAATGAAAGAGTTCCAATAAAATAATTTTATTCTTTTATATTCACTGGTTTAAGAAATACAGCAATTTAATTTTTATATATTTTCATACTATCAAAAAACCCTTTTTTATTATAAAGCGACATTAGTTTATATTAGATTTCTCATTTGAGATAAACCTAATAAAATTAGAAAATATCACAAGTACAGCAAAAAACAAATAAATAATCAATTTAATCAATCTCCAAAATCTTCTTCAGTTTGACTACTAAAGCCCATTCTTCTTTGCTTAGATCATTTCGAAATGATTCCTTTAGTACATTAATAGATTGCCGTGAAATCTTTAAAACAGATATAATAAATGTAATTTAATAGATTTTATGTTTTAAAAACAAAACATACAGCGTGTAATGATATGCGTACCTTACTATATAACTCATCACTTTCGATGAAATGCCTTCCAAACATTTTCGGTGTTTCATACCCTGGACACTCCAATTTAATTGCGACACCGGCGCCGGATTGTGCTTTTTTTACAACTTCTACCGCTTTGTGATTCTGTTCCATACTTGCAACTTTACCAAGATTTATAATTTCTCGCGCCTAAAATCGGGTATTATTGTCATATTATGATTTATTTAGATATATGGAGGATTTGAAAAAAACCATACCTTAGTCGCCGGATCGACTTTTACAACACATATAGGCGTCCCAGTCCTTAGAACTCCTTCAACAACATCAACACCTAGAACTATAGGATCTCTTTTATTAAAGATGGCGCCAGGAACAATTTTAAGAACACAAGGAAAAACAGCTTGAGGTGCTTGATCTCTTCTCTTCTGCTCTATAATATCCTGTTAATTAATAAAGAATGGTTTAATCTGTGCAATATTCAAATCCTTAAAAAATTACTATCACCGATATAATCACAAACCTTATTGTACGCAGTAAATTGATCAAACAAATGATAAATAATATCTGCTTCAAAAATTTTGATTCCCAGTTCTTTTGCCATTTCTTGTGCTTCCTTTTCAACTTTGACATCAAAACATAAAATAACGGCAAGCCTTAATTATAAAATAAAGGATTTAATGCGTGTGTTATTGTATTTGCAATAGTAGCACTAGTGATGTGAGTAGGGTGATACCGGTATCTATCTAAAAGTAGTATATACCGATAAATACTGGTAACTACCGTTAGGTAAGTGATATAAAGTGTAGATACCAGTAGATAAAAATAAAGCATTTTTTATCATATCAATCATAATATCGATATTATTGGTTATTTCACTAGTACCTACCGGTAGCTACCACTACCACTAAACACCTACCGGTATCTACCAGTATTTACATCACTAAGTAGCACATTCTTCAATACTTACTCCCTAGCCTTTTCCAGCATAGTACTTGCACGCATTATATCTTTCTTATGTACGGGACCAATGCTTATGCCAGATACTGGGATATTGGATACCCTCAAGAATTCCAAAAGCGCTTCTAGGGAGCCTAAAGTAGATGCTTGTACACATACACCTCTGCCTGACTTATCAACAGAGTTCAACATACTCTTCAGGTCAGACATTATCTCATCCTTGAGTTCATCTTCATCATCGTCAGGCCCACAAACCAAAAGTCGAGAACCTGCGACTGCCTTCTCAAGGTCTTGCGCTGAAATTTTTATTCCAAGAGCGGCTTTCACGCTTTTATTGTGAACATATGCAGACTTAACACGAAGTTCTTTCAATGGTTGTGGTGTCAGCAAAGCACGAATAGTTGTAACGATAGGTCCATTAAGACCACAAAGTACGATTTTATCCCCTTCATTTAAAACGCCATTAGACAGAACGACATCAATGGTCGTACCGAGACCTTCAATAACTTTAACTTCCAAAACAGTGCACTCCAATTCAGACAAATACATCAATTTATCACTCATTCTAGTTTGCGTTAAGTTTACTAAAAGCATGAGCATGTCAGGAATACCTTCTCCAGAAATAGCGGAAGTTGGAACAAGTGAAACGTATTTAGCAAAATTCTTATTTTCATAGTAAAGACAAGCGTTCAGCCCCTAAAAATTAACATCAATTTTATTATAGAATATCATATATTGTTTATTACAGTAGATATTTATTATATTTCATTTACCTGCTCTTGAAAAGCTACGATAGTTTTTTCAACTCGGTCCTTAAATTCGCGTTTCACGGATTCACTTTGCTTCTCCAAAGAATCCCGGAAAGCATTATCTGGTACAGGTTTCCAATCATATATACGATCGATCTTTTTAATTTGTATTTTTGAAATAAAAGGGCAATAATTTAATAATTTTACGAAATTATAAATAAAATCGCAAACAATTTAATATTGATATACCTTATTAAGAGCTACGATGAATGGAGTTTTACGATCTCGTAATAATCTTATAGATTCTAATGTTTGCGGTTCTAACCCATGCTGAAAAATAATCACATATATGATAAATCCAACGTAGCAAATAAAATGATTAGTTTGAAATAGGATTAATATAAACATATTGACTTACCATAATATCGACTACAAGTATGGCAATATTACATAAAGAAGATCCTCTTGAACGTAAGTTGGTGAAAGATTCGTGACCAGGAGTATCAATGATCAATAATCCTGGGAGTTTATACTCTTGCTTTCCATCCTGAGATAATATAATAAACGAGTTAATGATAAAAATAAACTTTCATAATGAAAATAATTATAGTACCTTATTAATTGGAGCAGTTTTCATTTTAATAGTTTCCATGGGAAAATAGGTGGCACCGATTTGTTGTGTAATACCCCCGGCTTCACCTTCTTGAACGTTTGTTTGTCTGATTTTATCTAACAATTTTGTCTTGAAATATTCATATTATATTGGAGTATTGTATAAATTGTATGAATTGTATAATCGACTGTTTCAACAGATAAAAGTAAAGTAAATTTACATACATTATGCGTTACAGTAAAATCACCTAATAAAAAGCGGTGATTTCCATCCACTACAAAACCATAATAGTCGCCTATACCAATTTCTTCAACCTTAAATCCCCAATATTGTTCTTTCTTGTGTAACTTTGTAACCTCCCGTTTCTTAAAAAAAAAATCTTTATAAATTACTTGTAATCATATTGTAAAGCTGCTTTTATGATTTACCAACCTTTTCGTCTGCCCCGGTAACTAAATCATCAGAGAATAACGTAAAGCCACATGAACGATAAAGATGAACGAATTTTCGTATTATAGAGTCTCCTTTTTTTACCATCCTAGCAATTTTATCTCGTGACTCACAAAAACTGCATATAATACCAGAGAGCAACGGAAGACGAACTTGCATAATATCATCGTGCATCATGACCTCGGGAATATCGTTGTTTATCAAGATGTCAAGTTCTTGTAAGAGACGAAACAATAAACTACGATTTGTAGTTTTATATTCTGAAGATATTATTTTATAAACCGGCGTAATCTCTCCATTGTTATCTGAAAGACCATCCTTGATATTTTGATTAACTACATTCGTACCAATCCAAAAGCCGATCAACCAAGCACATAATTTAATGATAGCGGGAGAAGCATGTATGTCGACGAAACTCTTGACGATCTTTGCAAAAACACCCTCTTGGCTTGGGAATCGAACTTTTTCTGGAATAAACATTTTGGCCTGAGATTGCACTTCAGGGTCACAATTTAAAAATTGCGTAACGGTCGGTTGCCATATGAAACCTGGTCGCACGATAGAACTCGAACTATTCGAACTGAAATTTCCAACTTTATTAAGCAATTCCAAATCGCGAATGGCAGCCTGCTTAGCATTGTTGATAGTAGAATAGTCCGTACTTCGAACCGAATAAGGCTTAGATGTTTTTTTTATCAAATTTGTGGCACGATCATACGTAAAGTAGACAAGTCTAAACACTGTCTCTCCATACTTGTTGCATTCATGTTGCAAGGAAGGCCCTGACATCATCTTAAGAACAAGAATATGCGCATCATTGCATACAAAAGGCTGAGCAAATGAATAGTTTATTGGTGCTATATTGTAAAGAATTCCTTTGCCACTAGTAACGCCACTAACATTGCGAGGCGTACTATCATCTCCCATCACCTGATCACCTTCTTTAATTGTTTCCACAGCCTTTATACGTCCATCATACATTAAAACGGGAGTACCCTTCCCAAAGCATTTTCCTGCAATTAAATATTATTGAAAATGATGAATACGAAATCCAATATGAAAAAACGCAACAATTGCCCATCCAATGCGTATATATAATCATGGCTGTGCACTAATGCCGAGATTAGTTTTCTTTGATAATAATAAGATTCTCCTACGTGTTATGATTAAGGTACAAAAATAAGATCATGAATCATCATGTATAAAGAAAAGAAGCCGAATAATATACATATCTGTATCGACATGCCCTAAAATGCAGCAGATTGGCGATCTCAAGTTGTCTTTAGAACGAGCAGCGAGTGCCTCTTCATGTCGTTTCTAAAAAAAAAAAAAAAAGATTATATAAAATTTCGCATGTAATTCATCAATATTTTCAACAATTACCTTTCGACGTTCTGCTGCATCGGCTTTTTGTTTCAGAATTTGTTTTTGATGTTCCGTAATTTTTTCACTGTCAGTTTCTTCACCACTATCCTCATCACTATCCTCATCACTATCCTCATCACTATCTTCTTCTGACCCACTCTCAGATGCATCTTTTAACTCTACATCCTTATTTTTTTGTGTTGAATCTGTGTTAACAACCTTTGCTGGCGCCTTCTTTTTATCCGTATCAACGACCTTTGCTGGCCCCTTCTTTTTATCTGTATCAACAACCTTCGCAGGCGCTTTCTTTTTATCTGTATCAACAACCTTTGCAGGCTCCTTTTTATCCGTATCAACGACTTTTGCTGGCCCCTTCTTTTTATCCGTATCAGTCTTTACGGGAGTCGCTGGTGGGTTTTCGACTGAAGTGACAACATACAACATTAAATAAATATTTAGCATACATGCAATCCAATGCGATTATTACAATATTTAAATATTAAAGCATATCACCATTCTTTGGAATTTTCTCATCCTCTGATGACGTATCGCCTATTTCATCTGATGATACATCCCAAGTATCTCTGATACCATCATTTATTTCGGTTGATTTATTGCTTTCTACATCCTCGTCCTTTTCCCAGTTTTCTTTTACATCTTTATTAGTTTCGATTTCTCTTTCATCTTTTAAATTTTCTGAAGTTTCGGGTTTATCGTCCGCTTTTAACGTTAAAACCTCCGTCTCTGTTTTATCCAAAGTTTGTTTTGTTGGGCCCTTCTTCTTATTAGCGTAGACAACTCTCCTTGGAGCTTGTTCACCCTCTTTGTCAAGACCCTCAATCTTATATCCAGATTTTATCATCTGCTCCAACCGCATTTTGTCCTGCTGCTGCTTTGCCCTTTGTTTCTGGCTTAAATATTTACCTGACTTTTTAAGTTCTTCTTTCTTGGCCTGATATATATAACGTTGTAGCACTTTAATAATGAGCCATTCTAATTTCCATATTACATGACCAAAATAACATTTAATTTTTATACCTTTTCCTTTTCTTTTTTTCTCTGTTTGGCTAATTCTTTTTGTCTTTCTTCTTCTTCTCTACGCTTCCGTTCCTCTGAAAATAAAGTGTTTGTATGTAATGTTGAACACAATGATTGTTGACTATATGTTTAATGATTATTACCTTCAATTCGTCTTTGTTCTTCTTGTTCTTTCCGTATTCTTTCTTCATTAGCAGCACTGAAATAAATAATGTACTTTTTATACTTTGCACTATGATATAGTAACATTAACGATTAACGATTAAAACCAACCGTTCAGCTTCTAGTTGTGCTCGAATAGCCGCAAGCGCAGCAGCCGGTTTCTTTTTTGACGATGTTTTTTTTTCTTCCTCTGCTGCTGGTTTCTTTTTTTTTTTCTTTTTCTTCTTTTTTGAGTCATCATCCTCATCCTCATCATCATTCGCAGCATCTAGTGGTGCATCTAGAGGTGCTTCTGATGGTGGTGGTTTGGACTCCTCTGCAGGTGCAGTGACTGTATCATTTTCCTCTTTAATGCTTTCTGCATTTTTTGTAGTTAATTGTGTTTTTTTCTTTTCGGCATCAGCCTTTTTTTTTTCTTTTTCTTTCTGTTTTTTTAGCTTTTCTTTTTCTTTTTTACTTAATATTCGAACTTCTCCACTCTCTTCAGCAGGTTCGTCAGCTTCAACTATTTCAGAACCTTTTTCTTCAGAATTTTCAACAGTCGCCTTTTGATCGTTTGATCCTTTCTTTTTTTGTTTTTTATTCTTTTTACTTGTATTACCAAATTCTTCTTCAACCCAATCATCAGCTTCCACTTGCTTCAATTCGGATTCATTTACTTCAGCATTATCAACTGTCGTATTTTGATCGTCTGATCCTTTCTTTTTTTGTTTTTTATTCTTTTTATTTGTATTACTAAATTCCTCTTCAATCCAATCGTCAGCCTCTGCTTGCATTGTTCGTATTTTATGTTGTAGCTAAATGATGCTGGCAATATTAAATACGATACAGCAGTATGCGCAGTCACATCAAAGGCGCTAAAAATTTTAAAGATTTTTGAAGATCATAATCAAATACGATTGGTTAATCTTTTTTTGGGGGTAGTTCCCACGATTATGTTCTCAGTGTAGGTGCCGCGCGACAGATCCTCGATTTTGATTGGCTAAGAGCGACGGTTAGTGATGAGGTAGAATCGTCCCGTCACGCTGTAACTTTTCATATCAAAAAATCCATTAGGACGATTCTACCGCATCACTAGCGACGATCGAAAAATTAGGCCGGAATTGGTGCTTGCAGTCGACCATTATTTATCGACTTAACTAAGTCGATATTTAAAAAATCGGCTTAGCCTCTCAAGAACAGGGTTAACGGTTCAACTAATAACAGAGAGTCACGTGAACACGGAGACACAAGAACCGTGTAATGGTATGTTAAAGTTGTAAGTATATAGACTAGTGAGAGGGTTTATGTATACTGTGATTTGGTGACTCG